GTTTGTAGTTCTAAAAATAAAGTTAGTTTCTTTTGACAAGTGGCTCCTGAATTGTGCCCAGACAGACTGCGGCAAACTCAGTCTAACAAATACAATGTGATGGCATTCTGCTGTGTGACATCTGAAGTACAGTCCTACAAAGGATAGCTTCTACTTTTCTTTTTCTTCCCCATCACTTTCTTTGGGGGAAATAGGCCACCATGACATGAAGACACTCAACACAGCCAGTGGAGAGGCTTGGGTGGGGAGAAACTAGGCCTCCTACCAAGAGTCAGAACCAACTTGCCAAGCATGTGTGTGAACCAACTTGGAAGTGGATCTCCAGCCCCTGTCAAGCCTTCAGATGAGTGCATCCCCAGCTGACATTTTGATAGCAACCTCAGGAGAGACCCTAAGCTGGAATCACCTAGTCAAGTCACACATGAATTCCTGGACCACAGAAAATGTGGGCATAATAAACTATGGTCTTTGTTGTAAACCACTAAATTTTGATGTCTCAGAGTGAAAGAAAACTAATATAGGCAACAAGAGTTTGGAAGTGCCCCTACCTCTACCTCAAAACCCTAGCAAGAGACTGTACCACTGAGACAATATGGCAACCCCATAGAAGAGGTTCATTCTCTCATTTTCTGCTTTGGCTCACTGAAAAGCCTTCCTTTCTCCAAGATGATTCCCATCAAAAGCCCATTGTCCTGGCACCACCAGAAGCACTCTTTCTAGTGTTAACCCCAGTGTTAACCCCATAACACAGACCATTTCTGGGGTTATGATGAAGGCCTCTGATGCCTACACAGAGGTCCCCATCTTAGGTTGCTGCCAAAGCCATTGGCACCAGATCTTATTATCCAAGAAGCCACTGGTAACAATACAGGCTTCATTAAGACAAAGTGGTTCTTGCCTTCACTTGTAGCATGTCAAGAACCCCAAAGTAGGGAAGAGTTGCATATCACCCTGTGTGAAACTCTTCAAAAATAAAAAGAACTATGTGGTTTATTGGAATGATTACAGATCTATAGATAAGCTGTCACTTTTTTAGCTTCTAACTGAAGGGATGGTAGGTTGCAAAATTTTCCCAATTCATTTTTCTCTGAAATCTGTTTTTGCTGCTTATTGTTTTAAGACCCTCAGTTTGGGGTAGTTTTATTATGCAGCAACAGATGCCTGATATAGAAGCCAATTCTTGAAAGAAATAACAAAGGAATGAGGACATTGGAGGGGGCAGAAAATGGCAGGCCAAAAGGGTTCTTCAAGCCGGGCAACACACTCTTAGGCTCAGATATGTGCCTATAGTACTGGCTGCCATCAAATGTTCCACCCACCATTTGCCACCTTTTGAAAAGGCCTCAGGACAGCATGTCTTACATGTCACCCCACCACAACTTCTGGTGGTGAGCTAGAAATGGGGTTGGGGACTGAGGAAATATCCAGGGCATAAGACAGGGCAGAGAAGACAGGAAGAAGGTCCCAACGATTGTGCTTGTTTGTTTGCTTGCTTTTCTTGCAGGGCCAAGCTTTAGGAAAGTGTGGACTAAAATCTGAAAGGCAGGGCTCGAGGAATTTCTGCCCTCCACAGAGCTGCAGCTGGGGAAAATGAGAGACACAGTCGGGCTCCCAGGACAATGGTCTCTGGGTACCCAATGTGGGAGAGGTTGGGGACTGCAGGACCTTTACTCTTTTGCTGATGGATTCTTGGAATGGAGGATGTACCCAGGACACCCTAGCCCTCAGGGCTGGGGACAACATGGCAGAGGTAACTTCTGATAAGGCTTTAGGGTCTTGGAGTAGGAGGGGCAGAGCTCAACTGGTGGAAGAAACTAAAAAGCTGCAGAAGGTAAAGCAAGTCACTCTGAGCCAGCCAGAAGGTGCTGGCTCTGCCCTTAGTCCAAGTTTCTGGAGTCAATGGTCACTTGTCTTTAATTCTCATCTCATCAGATGTCACACAGCAGAATGCCACCTCTCCCCAGAGACAGGGACTTGGTTTCTAGACTTAACCTGTAAGAATGGAATGGAAGAACCAGAGGTTATTCCCTGAAGGCTGGGGCCCCAGGCTGCAAATCATGAAACAGAGACCCTTGTCCCCTCTCAGTGAGGACCCCTGACTCAGGAAGAACCACAACTTCTCCTGCCCCCACCCCAGGGGCTTTCAGAATCCTGGTCTCCATGCCAACAGCTTTTCTGAGAGATCTGTCCCTTTTCCATGTTAACCCAAGCCCAAAAACCTGAGTAGGGAACATCAAGCTAAGGGGAGTAAAAGGGAGGTGGCTGAGCAATGGGAAAGGGAGGGCTCAGCATCAGGATTCCCACTTACCTTGGGGTTCAGGCAGAGCTATAGGGCACAGACTTCTCAGGGTGGCTGTTGGGCTCTGGCAGAGTTCACAGGGTCTGAGAGCAATAGTGGAGGATGAATGCTGTGAGCACAGTTGGCAGGAGCCCCTGTGGCTGGGACAGGGACTCAAGGTGGCTGGGGATTAAATGGAAGGAGGTGGCCCATCTAGACAGAAGCAGAGAGCAGGAGCCCACTCTTTCACTTCCCTCCCCACGTCTTCTGCTGCCTCACTCACCCAGGGCCTGGGACTCTCCAATGACTGTGGGGCCCAACTCCATGGAGTAAACACTGCCCAGGGGGTTGTCCTTGCATGAGCCATCTTTGGGCCTGAGCACCAGAATCAGAAGCCAGGGGGTTGGAAGAGTGACCCCAAGCAAGGGTCCCAGGGACTGCTTCCCCACAGCATGGTGCCCAGCTGTAGTTCCACATTGACTGTGTTCACTCTTCTGCTCCAAGTCACTCTCTCTGGCTCCTTCTTGCCCCCTCCTGAGAGGAGCCCTTGGGCCCAAGGATTCATTTGAGACCCAAGCTCTCCAGGGCCCCTTCCCTCCAGTCCTGATGTTTCTTTCAAGCTCTGGTGCCATACCAGCCTCCTGGCACCTTCTAGATGTTGGCAACATTCATGTTCTATTGAGGGCTGGATGTCCCTGCCCCTGCCCAGTTGAAGCTGTGCCTGCACTCCTTGCTGTTGAGGGTCTTGCTGCCCTTTTGACTCTAAGCCATCTCCCAGCGTCTTGCCACTTCGTGGTGCTCATGCTAGGCAAGTGTTCTACTGATGAGCTATACTACCAGCCCTTGCCACTCCTTTTGATGTCTCATCTGAATAGTCAGCCACTGCCCTCAAGACCCCACCTGGTTATGAGATGCAGCCACCACCCCTATGCAGTGCTCCTGACATGCCAAGCTTGGCCTACATTTCTCCTCTTGCACAGACTCCCTATTACTACTCCTTGTGCCAAGGCCCTCCCAACTGACACCTGGGGCATAGTTAGTGCCCTGCCCCTGCTGGGGATGCCCTCTGCCCCTATCTCTAGGTCAAATCCTGCTCTCTCCTTCTGCTGGTCCAAAGCATTTCAAGGCCAAGCTATATCCAATATGACACTGGGTCCCAACAAAGGGGCATCCCTAGGTGGACCATGCTTACTGTTATGTGACCCTCCTCCCACATCATAGAGAACTGGGCTTGGGGCAGTCTCCTGACATAAGAGCAGTCATCACCATAGCTGACCAGTGGAATGGAGGGCAAACATGTGCTTAGCCCAGCATTGGGAAATTTGAAGGGGGTAACAGAAGTGATATGGGCAGAGGAAGGAGTAGAGGGCTGAAAACTCAGGGGTCAGAGAGACTGGAGAGGCCTCCAGGGACACAAGGGAGCATGAACTGTGGGAGCTGGTGACACATCAGGACAAAGTCAAAGGTAAGGTAACCACCTGGTGGGAGAAGCTGAGGATGTGACCAAGAGAGGCTGCTATGGAGGGAGGATGGGGAGGGTCATGCCCTGAGTGCTGGTGAGAGCAAGGATTCACACCCTGGTCTTGCCTGGGAGGCCAAGATTTCTTTCCAACTGCCTCAGGTATCTCTCTGCACCTGTGGGCAAGGCTGAGGCCCCTGCCCAATTCCCCACAGCTCCCACCAACCCACAGGTCCAACAGAACTCTGAGGAGCAGGAACCACTGAAGTAAGCTCAGGAGGAAGAACCAGAACCCTTAGGAGCTGGGTACTCAAGAGCCTACCTACTGCACAAGAGATCCCTCCTGCAGCCCCAAGGGCATTGCTGGAGATGGAATCCTGGGAGCCGGTAGCAGCACCAGGCCAGGCCTGCCCCAGGGAGTAGAGGCAGTAGAAAGCTGAGGAGCATGGCTAGCAGGAAGGCATCCTTCTCTGCAGAGGACAAGAGCACTGAGTCCTGAGCAGGTACACCACTCCTGGCCCTGTCTAGCTGCCCCACCCAACCCCAATGGCATACTTTCAGGCTGCACAGGGCCACTGTCCACACTACCACCGAAGCCAGGCTTGTCACAGAAGGGTGGGGCCCAGCCCGGAGCACAGTGGCAATTATGGTTGCTATTGCAAACCTGCAAAGGAGAAGAGGAATGAAAGAAGGTCATTAGGGATCAGGGACCCCAAGGTCATCCCCACCCCTCATGCAACTCACTCCCTGGTTGTGGCAGGCAGTCAGGCAGTTCTCCAATTCCTGGAAGGTAGCATTCTGGCAGCGCCTGTCCTGGCACACCTATGGGCAATGTACCAGCTGGGCAGTGATGGAGGTTGGGGAGGGGCGGGTACAGGACAGGACTTTGGGCTACAGGACTCATGTGCCCAAAAGGGGTGGAATGGACAGGGCTCACCATTTTAGGTCCACACTGAGTCCCCGCCTCTACCAGGCCCAAGTCAAGTAGATCCAGCTGGGCTTCTGGAAGTGCCAAGGCTCCCCGACAGGCCACCTCACCACCCTCTAAGGGAACCATGGAGTCCACCGGCACCATGTATGGCACTTGTGGACTCAGCTCCCCACCTTGGCACTGCAGCTTCCCACACTGAGCATCCCTGGGGAGGAAGTGGAGGAGGGTCAGCAGTGTGGAGTGTCCCTCTTCCCTCAATTTACACAGCTTTGGCTCCTCCATTCCACTCCTCACTTCTGTGCACAAGGCAGGAAGCGGCTGTCGTTGTCCTGGCCACAGTTACCATGGGCATCTCCCGCAGAGTTCACCATCTGGAAACAGGCCTCTGGGGCTGGGCGAGACCCTGAAGAAAGAATGAGCCAGACTGGGGCAGCCAGGATAGGGCCTGCAATTAGGTGGCCCCAGTAACCCCCATCCTGTATCTTCCTCCACAGTAGAAAACTAGGCAGAGACAAGGAGGGGTCAGGGTGAAGGGCGCACAGTGGTCTCACCAGGCCCCCAGAGCTGCTGGCACTGCTGCTCCAGCGTGGGACATGCGCCGTCCTGGCAGTAGCCTCTGCCATTGGCGCAGGGCGAACCATCCAGTAGGTAAATGTCCCGGGGACAGTGTGGGGAGGTTCCGGTGCAGAATTCGGGGAGGTCACAGTCGCCTGCAGCCTGGCGACACGGCGTGCCTGCTGGCTTCAGCTGCGTAGATAACCCGGTTAGGGAAGGGCAGAGACACTAGACAGTGAGAGGTCCACGGCAAGAGCTCGGCTTAGAGTGGAGGACCCAGCAGGAGATCCAAGCGGATCCACACAGAGAGCCGAGCCCTCTGCACCCAGTAGAGGAAGCAGAGGGCACCAATTAGCCAAGACCTACTGGCCCGCTCCCGAGCGCCCCAAGTGGTCATTCCTGGGCTTCCCATTCTCTCACCAGGCAGCCGGAACAACAGCCCCCGTGAGCGCACTGGGCCCCCGCACGCAGTGAACAGTTATGGGCGATGCAGCAGGGGTCTGGGCACTTCTGGCATCAGAAAGGCGAGAGTGGAACAATGAGGGCGCAGCGCTCCATACCTCGGGGGAGGGGACGAGCGGGGCCCAGCCTTGGTCCCCAGAGGTGGGGCAAGAGGACTTCACCTGGCTGGAGCCACAGTCGCAGTCTTCGCCGGCCTCCACGAAGCCGTTCCCGCAGCGCGCCGACGGCAACAGGAGCCTAAGGTCCGGGGCATTTGAAAGGCACGCGCCACCTCCCTTTCGGAAGAAGGCGCGCAGCTGGCGGCGGCTGCAGGCGCTGAACACTCGCGGGAACGGGTGCCTACCGGTCAGAGGAGGATGTCCGACAAGCGAGGATCACCCCCCAAACCCCGGCTGGTGTTGGATTCTCACCCCTGAAGTTAGCCACACAGCCACCAGATGCGCGAACACCTCCTGATCAATGGGATGCCTGAATCCTCCAGAGGCTGAGCTCAGAAAATAGAAGCCACCTGCGCCATTCCGGAGCCTGACTCCAGAGGGTGTGATGCCAAGAGTGGGTACGCCAAAGGACCCATGGTGGAATGGCAAGCCAGCGTTGCTCCTCCACAGTTGGAGTAGACTTGCTCGATCGATCCAAAACTGATCTTTATATACTTTTGAGAAATCGCTTTTCACTGAGGCCTCATAACCCCTAAGGGCAGGTAGTTAGCATCGTCCCCATTATACAGCAGAGGAAACTGAGAGATAAACACAGAAACTCAGAGAGAAACATGCCTAGGTCCAGTGGCCCCTGCCCTGCGCACGTACCCAGTGGCCTCAGCCATCACGCAGCCGCCCTCATCTGCCATGGCCTCCACGCAGCAGCCGTCTGGGTCATGGCTGAGGCCAAGGCTGTGCCCTATCTCGTGGGCCATGGTGGCCGCAGGGCCAATGGGGAGCTCCGAGTGGTCCTGGGAGGTGGGCATGGGGATGTCATTGCGGGCCGAGAGCCCCTCTCCCAGCCACTCTGCTCCCACATCTCTGGCAGAGCTCACCATGGTCACGCCTCCAGAGCTGTCGACGCGGCACATGCCATTGACTGGCGCCAGGCCCACAGTGGTTCCCAGGAAGGTGCGGCCCCTGAGGGTGGAATGCGGCGTGACCCTGCGGGACTGTGAGTCAGTACCTTCCTGCCCGCGATCCGCATTAGGGTCCAAGGCACCCACGTGAGCAACTGCGCTGAGTCATGTGGCCGCCGAGTCCACACCCCCCGGCGCCACTGCAGGAAGGCCCAGAGCGTGGCATTCGCGTCAGGCGTGACGCGGCTGCGGTCCTGCTCAGTCCACACCTCCAGGCCAGTCAGCACCAACTGAATGTCCAGAGTCCTAAGAATCTGAGGGCAGAACGCGGTGGGACTGAGGCCGTGAACCAGGAGCCCCACAGAACCGGTGCCAGTGTTTCTTGGTGGCCGAGACCTTCTCCTCCCCCTCTACCATGCTAGAACCTGCCCTCTCCCCGCAGTCTCCAACCTGTTCCACATAACTGGCGACCTCTAAAAGACGCTGTTTGGTGTGGTTCAAGTTCCGGTGCTGGATCAAGAACTGGAAGGACAGAATTGCCCCGGAGTGAGGGGCTGAGCTGGTCTCATCCCGGATCCTGCCAAATCCTTGGGTCTCCCCTCACCAGGGTGTGGTCTGCCACTATGTACAGCTCCAGGTACCTCGGACTCCTGTGGGACTCTCGCCTCTCCTATAGAGGGACAAATAATGAAGCTAAGTGACAGGAAGGATGCTGGGCTTGAGTTTTTACCACCAACCCCAATTTCCAGAAAGAAGAGTTTTTAAAATTCACTAGAATTTGTTTCTTCAGCCTCTGAGTTAAAATCTGAGTTAAAAGGTGGCCCTGGTCTGGGCCTTCATTCCTGTCTCCTCTGAATTGGAGCACTACAGATACTGCATTTCCACTCCCAACTATGTCTGTGTCCCTGACCCTGCTCTGGAGGGCAGGAAGAAGGCTGGCCATTTCTGGTTTGTCCTTGAGGTCCCTGTAGCTGCAGGCCCCTTTCCAAGTGAGCAGTTGATCCATGCGGAAGATCTTGTGGGTTGAGAGGTCCTCAGAATCCTCAGATGGCCAAGGATGCAGATAATAGCTGGCATTGCTGCTGAGCCTGATTAGGCCCCTAGGGAACAGAGGAGTGCAGAGGGGGATATGAGGGAGCTCTTGCTTAAGCCCCATCCCAGACCCCTCCCCCAGGACTGCTCACCTCATCCCAGAGCAGGTGCTGAGGACTACCCAAGAATGAGGGAAGCCTCTCACATGCCCATGGTAGTGACAATGATCCTGGAGAGGAAAGAACCCAGCCCCAAACTTCAGCCAGGGCTGAAGCAGGAGGAGCAAAGGAAGGGAAGAGAGGAAAACTGGCTCCAATCTTCCTTAGGAATGGGAATTGGGGAATGAGGTAGGCATAGGAGGGCTACCTTCAGGGTGCATCCCCAGCACCCAGCACCCTGTCTTCAGAGCCCCTGGAAGCATCTCACCGTGTGGTTGGGGACCAGCACCACTGGCTGCCCATCTGGGCTGTAGTGGGTTTCTGTGTATCCCGGGGCCAACAGCCTGCTGGGAGGGGATGTTTTAGGAATCATGGAAATTAGCCCACCTCTTCTAGGTTGCCCTCCACCATCCTCCCTGAATGCTAATTAACCAGCTCTACAGGGGGCACCCAGTGTGTGTCTTAGGGAAGGCACAGGAGAGGTTGTGCATTGTCTCTCTCAGAAAAACGTTGAACTAGAGGGAGAAAGGTGAAGGGCAGGAAAGGGGCTTCACAGTGGCTTAGAAGTGGGAGGTGAGAGTATAGAGAGCACCAGAGAGGGACAGGCAAAGGTGAAGGGTTCGTGGTCCTGTGGGGCCTGCAGCAGGCAGCTGGGTCTGCAGGTCAGAAAGGGAGAATTCTGGAGACACTGCTGAGAGGTAGGACTGGGAGCCAAAGAAATGTGGTAAACTCCCTGAGTGCCTCTGCCCCTGCCTACCTTGTTGGGAATCTAGTCAGCCCTCTTGCCTCCCTCCACTCTAAATCCTTCAAATCTTCTCCTCAAAAGGCCTCCAGACCCCACATATCTCCCATCTGTCCCTCAGTGATGCTCACTCCCTGCTTCCAGAGAAAATAAAATTCCACCTGTCTATACCTGCTTCTGCCCTGACCACCTGAGTAGGGATCCCCATCCCCACCTTCTCCAGACCCTCCTCCATGAGGAGAAATCAACTATAGCCAATCATTCTTCTCTAAAGAAAACCCTTGACTCATCCAGCCTCTTTACCTCCAGACTATCTCCAAACACCTGTGATTCCTGCTTTTCCTGCTCCCAGTCATTCCTCTACATTTTCCAGCTTTGCTCACCCATTACATGAGCACACACATGTGCACACACATACCATTTAGTGGGTAGGGACATTAAACCCCAGGGTAACTGTGGTTTGGCATGGTGGAACTAGAGTTTGTTCCCCCATCTGACTCCATTGGGGAAAATAAAATATGTGTCGAGCATTCAGAACAGACCATGCAATGAAACTACTACACACTAAGTGATACCTATTGATAATGTAGACATGGGGGGGTCCAAGATTCTGTACTCCATCTTGCATACCCACACCACTCAGCCATGGGCACCATCCTGAGCCCCTCTCCGCTTTCTCATTCAACGGCTTCAATTTTTTGGCTCTACATATCCAGAACACAGCAGGAAATTGCCTTTGGTGATTGGCCCTCTTGAGACTCCCCACATCATTTCCCCCTGCTTTCTTCTTTATAGATGGAGGCCTTCCAGAGAATCCAGATAAATTGCCACCCCTGAATGTGCTTTGACTCTTGTAGCCATTGTGCCTTTGTTCCTGCCATCCCGTCTACCTGGAATGCTGTCCATTTGTGGAATTCTAAGATTCCTCCAGCTCACCATGTCCTGGGAATGCCCACTAGGTGGTGCTCACCCATCACCAGCACTCCTGAGGCTGGGACACACAGCAAGCCCACAGCAGGACTGACTCAGCTTCAACAGTCCACTTCAGTCTCTCCCTATCATCCTTTCTGAGGCCCTCTCCCTAACTAGCCTCCAAGTTAGTTCCTATCCCCAGGACTGATCCCCTCCAGAGACAGGTGTGTTCCTGGCTCCCACATACCCCTGTCAGGTACTCACTGGTTCTTCTCCAACTCAAGCAGGAGCTCCTGGCCTTCAGCCTCCAAGACCACCAAGCCCGAGTTGAGTTTCAAGATCTGAACAAAAAGGAGTTCAGGTTGTGATGAATGCCTCTGGGTCCCCTGCCTGCCAAGGAGCAGGTAGGATGTAGAGCTGGCTGGTGAGCAAGTTCATGGGTACAGTAGAGCCCCATGGATCATGGACAGTGTGGAAGGTGTGGAAGTGAGAACATGCAAAGATATTCCCAAACTCAGATGTTTTTTGATGTGACAATAGCCACTCAAAGGTGCATAAATCTTCCAGGGCATACCATGTCATCCCTAGAGATGAGGGATCCCAGAAGGGTACCCTGCTTTTCCCACAGTCAATGGGCCTTCCCCTTGGTCTTCCCTCTTCTTTTATTCCCAGGAAGCATGAAAAGCAAAGAAATACAGTGGGGGAAGAAGATGAGAGGCATTGGGTAGCCATGATTTAGGCCTTCTCAAAATCCTTGTGTTATCTGGGAGTTTGTTTCTGTCTCTTAAAATATATATATTGGGGGGTGCTGAATATTCAACCTAGGACTATATGCATGCTAGAACCTACACCCCCAATCCCTTGTTTCTGTGTCTGGTTGCCCCTCATTCCCTGTAGAATTCAGACTTTATTCCTCCACCCCCAATTCTGGCAAACTGCCCTTCCTTCCAAAGTTTTCCATGGCTTCCAGCAGGCCTGCCCCACACCTGAGCTCACAAAGTAAACATGGACTCCATCCAGGCAGAGAGAACTCTGACTTTCTCAGCTAGATGTCAGGGAGGCTGGTCTCAGCCAGCCAGCCCTCCTCCCTTTCCCCTCACCTTCTTTGCCTCATGAACCCCCTGGGAATACCCCATATTCCCTCCCTTGTCTGCTCAGCCTGGCTAGGGGCCCAGAGTTGGAAGCAGCCCAGGAGATTCCTGGGGGTTGTATTTTCAGAGTGTTCCCTCACCCTTGCTGGCCCTCCCCTTTATCCTAAAATGCACTGGGCTGGGGCCCTGGCCAAGGAGCTCAGAGTCTTGGAGGGGGGCTCTTTCCCTGCAGGTGGGGAGCAGACAGCCCTCACTTCCCCAGCCACAGGCTCCACAAGGCCCCAAGCGTGAGCTCATGTGACTGGAATGCCTGCCACTTGCTTTATTGGGGAAAGGTTTGCACTGGGAGAAAGGCTGTGGCCCACGTGGAAGAACACACTGGAGGTCCCTGCCCCTCTACAGCCCCTGCTGCCTTTGCTTGTTGCCTTCCTGGTGATACTGCCCACCCACCATGCACCCCATCTATACCCCAAAACGTGAGTGTACCCTGACTGTTGGAGAGGACATCCTGCCAAAGCTTAGTCTCCTGTCCTAGGCTTTCCTGGGGGCAGAGGCCAGAAGTGGCTGAAGCAGGGCCCCTATGGGATCCTCCTCTTAGTCATAGCCCAGGCCAGACAGAGAAGGAAGCCCACAGATGGTGTGACCCCAGCACGTGCCCAACCTTCACCTTCACCAGGTATGTCAAGAACAATCCCAAAGTGCGGGCTAGCACTGTGCTTAACCAGTTGAAGGGGGGCCCTAGAGGTCTGTGGGACCCAAGTGAAGACCCTAATTTGGGAGTCAATGGGCCTCCAGGTAACCCCAACCCTCATGGTAGTACTCTCCTTGCACAGTGGAGCTGACCTTTCTTACCTGGAAATTCAGACCTCAGTGCTCTCTAGGATTGGGTGGGGGTGACCAGTGTTCTGAGGTCTTTCAGAACTTAGCTGTTCTGAGGTTCTAAGGTCTGTCTGACCATGGGTATCTTTTTAACTTCTCTTTTCTAACTTTACCCTTCTGTAAAATGGGCATATTGAGGCTACTAGCCTGTTTGTGATACAGATATTGTGGCAATTGATGGGAGATGGTTACTCTGGAAGAGTATGATGGACAGGACTTGGGAAGAGGCTGGACACAGTGTTCCAGAGAAGTAAAATGGGATGGGCTTGCATCTGGGGGTATCAGGAGAGTGATCACTGCTCCTTGGCCACAGTTTCAGACACTCAATGGCAGGGTCTTGGGAGAAACAACAATGTGTCTACAGAGTTACAGGTTCTGGTAAATTTAGCCAAAGGAAGATATTTTGGTTTCTTCTTAAAGAGGTTCCTGAAAAGCTTCAGGCCCCACAAACTCTGGACCCATCTCTGCTTGGTGAGGGTGGGGTAGCCTGGATAATACAAGGAGGGAGGGAAGGGGGAAGATGGGGGGAGGAAGCTGAAAATGACTTCCATGTGTGCAGCCTCAGCCATCTAGATGTCTCCCATCCCGCCTGCCTGGTGGGGAGGGGCTAAGAAAGCAGTGAGTTGGTGGTTCTGAGGACCCCAGAAAACCTGCCAAGCTGCAACTGGGGGGAGGGCAAAGGGCTGGGAGACAGGGGCCCATGCTGAGCATGGGGTATTGTAGCACTGACCGGCTCTTCCAGGGTAACTCTGCGCCAGGGTGGTCCATCCAAGACCCACTGGGGAGTAACAGGCTCTCCAGGAGTGTTTCCTAGGATGAAGACAGAGTACAGAGTGAGGGGGACCTTGGGGGGCTTGGAAGGAGGGAGGGGAAGTCCTAGGGGACAGGACTTCAATGCTTCTTCAACGCTTCTTCAACGTCCTGGGCTCAGCCTAGAGAAAGATGGGTGGGCGCTCATGAGGCAACCCTGGAACTGAGGGGCCACCAGGGAGATGGCAGGAGAGAGACAGAGGAGCTTGGGAAGAAACAGCTCAGCTGGGGATTTGGGAGCTGCCTGACCTGGGGATGGGGTTGGGTCAGAGGTCACAAGGAAGAGGCTCAGGCCTGAAGTATAGAGGGGAAGGGAAAAAAAAAAAAAAGAGGAGGAGGCAGCCTCTGTATTTTTAGACTGGGCAGCAGATGCCTTTAGTATGAGAGATCTATGAGAAGAGGCTGCCTGTGTCTCCCCACCATCTGAGAAAAACAACATCCAGATGTTGTCTGGCAAGATCCACGATGCCCAGTGTTCTCTTGGGGGCTTGGTGCTGGTGGCAGGCTCAAGGACCCTGGCCCGGAAGCCCCCTCTTTTTGTCTTCAAGTGGAAATCCAGGGGACAGAACCTCTGTGTTCCTGTGCCGGCGTACCTAAGGGGGCTCTAGGAGGAATCCCAGAGCCAAGCATTACTCAAAGGGTGCCTGGAATTCTCCCCTGGAATGTTCCTTCTCCTCCCCCTAACTGGCCACAGCAAATCTCACCCAACCTACCCTGCAGGAGCCAGGCTCCACCCAGAGCCTGCAGCCAGCCCTCAGATCCTCAGTCCCTAGGGCAAGCCCATCTCCCAGAAAAGCAGCACCCTATTCACCACCCAGCCCTGGCCGTAGTCCTGCTTCTCAGGACGATGGTTGTTTGTGTAAGTGGCTCAGCTACTCCCAGGCCACCCCAACTTCTTCCTCTCCATCTCCTCTTCTAGATAGTAGGCATCAAAGTCCTGGAATGACAGCAGCTCCAGGAGTCACCTTTCCTCAAGAAAACTTTAATTGTTGACCAAGTTGCCATATCAGGCAGATGGCAGGTTTGGGGAAGGACCATTTCTGAACTGAAGCTGAAGGAGCTAACTATAGGGAGGCATTGAGTGGGAGGGATCATCTTTCAGCCCAGAGAGAGCTTAACTGGGTATGGAGAACCAAGCCTTCTGATCCCAGGCCTCAGAAGATGCAATGGATGGAAATGGGTGTTTATCCGCATGGCCTGCATACACTTGCTGGTCACTGGCACATTGGCAAATGAAGCAAAGATGGAGCTGGGTGCCTGGGTGCATGAGAATAGAAAACAAGGGATCGTGTCTGGGCTGAGGAATATAGCCCCCCGCCCCCTCTCTCAAGAGTCCATCACCATCCTCTAGGCCCAGGCTAGAGCTCTGGAGGTAGACAGTAGTGCAATACCTAGGGCTTGTTCCCAAAAGTATGACAGCTGTTGTTCCCTTCCTTTCTGGCAGGAACAGAGCAAGAGCCAATACATCTGTATTGGCTCAGTACAGAGCTGTAGAACCTGAAGCTCCTAGGCTTCCCAGCCCAGATCCTGGTGCCCCCATCGGCTCCAGTTGCCCTTTCTGTCTCTTGTACAGGCTCTGAAAAATCCATCTTCTTGGAGGGGCTGTTGTTAACAGCCTAGCCATACAAGGAGCTTGCAGAGGTCACAGGGAAGAGAGAGCTGAAGTCTTCCTGAGGCACTGTCAGACACCTTCTGTTTGGAGAAGTCCCTGCCTGTCTAACCAAACAAGGCAACTCCATCAACAATATACACACTGCCTGAGACTGGAGGAGGGAGGGGAGGGTGGTGGGCAATGAGATGGCTAGTCCTAAGGGCAGAGCAGGACTTTAGGGACCTGTGGGCCTGGAGGCTTTTTGGAGGAGTGAGACCTGCTAACCCTGAGGACTGAAGGTACAGAAGCCGCTCAGTTCACCCTAGCAGCTGGAGACTGGGAGGTTTTGAGAGAAGAAAATACAGGCGACGGGGGGTCGAGGGGCTTTGCAGCTGCACAGGCAGGAAAGTGCCTTTCCCCTCTGCTTTGCAAGGCACCATGTGTGGGCAATTCAGGCCCTGAGGCCACCCCAAGCAGTCAAACCCCCTAGACAGGTCTCACAGACACCTGCCTAAACCCTGCTTTGTCCTTTTGGCCAGGTGGTCCCAGTGTTTCATACCCTCCATCTGCAGACCAGGGCTGGACCCCTCAACCACCAATCACCTCATCTGCCCTCGGGGCATACTGGCGCCCACATCCTCACCTGGAAGCACGAAGGCACAGGGCACTGGCCAAGGCGACAGCAGCAGCAGCAGCAGCAGCAGCAGCAGCAGCAGCGACCCCTGCGTTCTCGGGGACCCCCTGCCCATGGCTGAGATCGCCTGGGCCTCTAAGCTCTGGCAGCCCGCTGCGGGCTCCGCCCCGACTGGATAGAGGCCGACCCACGCCCCCGCGCAGCCGGGCCGCCGCCTCCGGACCCTCCCGCGCAGCCCGGCTCGGAACAGCCACCGCGGCGGATCCGTCCCCACGCAGGCCCCGAGGACTCGACCTCGTGCGTGCGGGGGAGCCGGGACGACCAGCCCGAGGAAGCAGCAGCGGCCGTCGAGGGACAAGAGCCGGGCAGCGCGGGCGGAGGCAGGAATCCAGCCCGCGAGGTCCCTCCACTTCCCTACCCGCGGGGGCGGAGGACGGGGACGGGGCGGGAACGTGGGAAACGTTCTTCGAGGCCGTAGCGGGGTGGGGTGGTAAACAGGGGCCCCGAATGCGGGCTGCCAGTAGCTGCTCAGGGCGGTCCGAGGAGTCCCCGTCTCGGTGGTCTATCCCCACCCTGACTTGACACGGGTCCTGCCCTGAGGCTCCTAGAACCCAGAGGAGGGTTCATCTATCCACACCGGGTGCCTCCCAGAGGAGAGGGACAGTCAGATGTAGCTGCCTCTGAACCTTAGAGGCCGCCAGCCTCTGCCGCGGACGCACACCCGGGTGGTGGTGGTGGTGGTGGTGATGGGGAGTGTGCAGAGGCTGTGGTCTTGGGTGCCATGGTGGGGAGCAAAGGCGACATTTCAGACAAGCGCTGGGTGGGGCACAGTCCTTTGTCCCAGGCTCTGGCTAGAGGGCAGAATTGTACAAAGCTATACCTCCCAGGCTGCGGGGAGGAGGAGTGTCAGTAACGTGTGTGTGTGTGTGTGTGTGTGTGTGTGTGTGTGTGTTAGTGGGCGGGGGTCCTTTTGGTGTCAATAGCTCTAATAGAAAGATTTGTTGGTTTGAGAATTCGGTATATATTCAGAAAGCGAAGGACGTTAACTTTTAAGCGAATCTGTTTCCGAGAATGTGGGATTATGAATGTGGGTAGTAAAAATTCCAGCGGCAAGAGCAACCTACATTTACAGCATTAAAAATTATGATGGATCCTGACTCAGTGATTCCCACCTGTAGTCGCAGCTACTTAGAAGGTTGAAGTAGAACAATTGCTTGAGTCCAGAAGTTCAGGGCCAGCCTGGACACACAACAAGACCCGTTTCAAAAAACTCAATAAATAAACATAAAAATTAAGGAATGATAAAATGCTTAAGAAAAAGTCTTTCTACCTCTTCAGTCTCCATTCTTTCAACCCTCCTCGCCCAACAGGAAACTGCTACTGTAAGTTTCTTACACAGGTTTTAGGTTATTTTTATACATACTCAAGAAGTAAAGACATTTTTTCTTAATATTTTTCTTCACCTTGGTTTTGTTTTGTTTTCTTAGTACACCTTTTATGTCAGAGCTCTGAGAAGAGCTATGTCGAAGGGCATCAGAGGACTTTTCTGCCAAAATCTCTGAGCAACTGTTAATTTACTTTTGAGTTTGTAGAGGAAGAAATGGATCAAAGTTAAGGGTGATAGATCCTAGAAAGTCACCAATCAGCCCAGTATTCATGTCAGGTAATATGATGGGAAAGATGATTTATCAAATGGTTTATTGTTTTTTCTCTCTGAGCAGCATGAGGAAATGTCCTGGAAATAAGACAGACCAAGTGCAATGTTCACCAACTAAACAGGACTCAGCCTGAGGAGTGATCCAGAAGAGGGTGTCACTGCCAACTCCAGCTTACCCACATGTCCTGGGTGGCACCTACAGATCCCAGGCCAGTGGTTGAATGGATCAGAAAAAGTAATGTGTGTGAATGGAGGATCTCAAAGTCACAGTCAAGGCTCCCTCCCTGACAGCCTGGTACATCCAAAGGGCAACATGTTGCCCCTTGATAAGGTGAAGGGTTTGCTTAGAACCCTTCATCAGCCAGGTTTTGATTTGGGTAAACTGTTCTGATTATTAAGCATAAAAGATGGGAAGTTTCCGGTGGTGGTAGTGGTGGGGGTTTTTTGTTGTTGTTGTTGTTGTTGTTGTTTTAAGAAATGGGGTCTTGGGGTTGGGGTTGTGGCACAGTGGCGGAGCACTTGCCTCACATGTGTGAGGAAGTGGGTTTGATTTTCAGCAGTATAAATAAATGGATAAAATAAAGGTCTATCGATAACTAAAAATATATTTTTTTAAAAAATGGGGTCTCGCCTAGCATGGTAGCATAAGCCTATAATCCCAGAGACTCCAGAGGATGAGACAGAAGGATTGCAAGTTCAAAGCCAGCCTCAGCAACTTAGCAAGGCCCTAAGTAATTCAGTGAGACCTTGTCTCTAAATAAAATATAAAGAAGGTCTGGGGATGTGGCTCATTGTGTAAGTGCCCCTGGGTTCAATCCCAAGCAGGAAGGAAGGAAGGAAGGAAGGAAGGAAGGAAGGAAGGAAGGAAGGAAGGGAGGGAGGGAGGGAGGGAGGAGGGAGGAAGGAAGGAAAAAAATGGGGTCTCACTATGTTGCCCAGGCTGGCCTTAAACTCCTGGGTCCCAGTAGTCCTCCAACCTTAGCCTCCCAAGTAACTGGGACTAGAGGTACACACCACCATGCCAGCTAAGTGGAAGAGTTTTTAAATACTTTATTTCTGAAATGCACATTCAGAAAAGTAAGCAACTCAATGAATTTTCACAAAATGAATACCCCCATATAACCTGAATCCAAACCAAGACAGAGCACATTCCCAGCCCCCCTAAAAGCTCTTTCATGGCCCATTTCAATCAATTTCCTTCATTGTTAACCACTATTTTGACTTACATCACCATTAATTTAATTTCACAAAAATGGAATCACATGGTATTATGATTTGGATCTTCAATGTCTGCTCCAAAGATTCATGTATTGGGGCTGGGGTTGTGGCTCAGCGGTAGAGTGCTTGCCTGGCACATGCAGGCCCTGGGTTCAATGTTCAGCACCACATATAAATCAATAAAATAAAGGCATTGTGTCCAACAACACTAAAAAATAAATATTTTTTAAAAAGATTCGTGTATTGAAGGCTTGGTCCCCAGTGCAGTATTGTTCAGAGGTGGGGCTTCTGGGAAGTGATTGGATCACAAAAGCTCTAACTTCATCTAAGGATTTATAATTGGATGACACTATCAGGAGGTGGGACATAGTTGAAGCAGTGAGTCCTTGAGGGTGTGCCCTGGGAAACTAGCTTGTCCCTGGCTCCTTCTCCTCTCTCTGCTTCCTGGCGGCCAGGAGCTGAGCAGCTTTCCTCGGCCACACCCTTTTGTCATGATGTCCACTTTGCCTCAGGGCCAAAGCAATGGAGCTAGCCAGCTGTTCTAGTGACCAGAACGTCTAGTGATGTTCTAGTTTTGCATGGTCGTGACCAAAAGACAGCAAGAACAACCTTAAAGGAGGAAAAGTTTATTTTGGCTCATGGTTTCCGAGGTTCGGTCCATGGTTGACTGACTGTGTACCTCTGGGCCAGAGGTGGAGGCAGAACACCTTGATGAAAGGGCATGGCAAGGAGAGTAGCTCAGGATGTGGCAACCAGGAAGCAGAGAGAGCTCTGCTCACCGAGGCCAAAATACCAACCCCAAAGGCACACCCTCAAGTGACCTACTCCCTCCTGCTGCCCTCACTTACCTACAATGACTGCCCAGTTCATCCAGTTATACCTTTCATAATCTTATCACTTCACCTCTGAAAATTGTCTCACATCTGAGCTTTAGGGGGACACCATAATACCAACCATGCACTGAAACCCTGAAAGCCTCTGAAACCATGAGCCAAAATAAATCTTTCCTCCTCTAAGTTTTGTTTTGTTCTTTTTATGTTTGTTTGTCTGTTTGTTTTGTTTTGTTTGTACTGGGGATTTAATCCAGGGGCATTTAACCACTGAGCCACATCCCCAGCTCTTTTTTTATTTTTTATTTTGAGACAGGGTCTCGCTAAGTTGCTTAGGGTCTTGCTAAATTACTGAGGCTGGCTTTGAACTTGCAATCCTCCTGCCTCAGACTCCTGAGCCACTGGAATCTAAATTTTTTTTTTCTCAGGTATTTTAGTCACAGAGACTAAACTGATTAGCACATACAACCTGTGCTCGTAGCATCTGGCTCCTTCCACTGAACATTGTTTGAGAGCGTCACCCATTTGTTTTCTGCAGCTGTAGCTCCTGCTCACTGTTATAATATTCCATTGTGTGAACATAGCACAATTGTTTTTAGCCCCTCCACTGCTGTTGAGCATTCACTGTTTTTAATTTCTGGCCAAGAATTGCGTTTCTGTGAACATTCTAGTACAAGTCTCATGGTCACATAAGCCCTCGTTTTCTTGAGTAAATACCCAGGGGAGAAATGCTAAGGTCATGGGAGAGATAGGATTAGCCTAAATAGATATTTTCAAACTGTTTTCCAAAGTTGTCATACACACTCTATGATATCATTTTATATAAAGTTCAAAAATAGGCAAATCAAATTTATGGTAGTAGAAATCAAGATAGTAGCTGCCCCTGGGAAGTACAATTGGGAGAGGCTGTGGAAGGATTCCGTGGTGCGGGTGACGTTCTGTTTCTTGATCTGACACTGGTGGCATGGGTGTGTCCACTTTTGGAAAGTCGTGGAGCTGTATGCACTGATACTGTGTGCATTTTTCCGTGTATATGTTACACCTCAATTACAAGTTTATTTCAAAAGACTAAGGGGGGCTTCAGATCCCTGAATGGAACCAACTGAACCCTCTGAGCACTTTCCAATCCAAGGTGGACGTACATCTCTTGGAGGGACACAGAAGCAAATGAAGACATGTTACATGTCCCCAAACACCCCAGTAGGCACTCCTCCTGCTGCCATCTGTGGTTCTCCTCTCTCTCTCTCTCTCTCTCTCTCTCTCTCTCTCTCTCTCTCTCTCTTCCCTAAGACAGCTCCCAAACATCTGGCTGCATTTGGCTTTATCTCTTCCTCTCCCACCTCTGGATTTAGCCCATTCTTTCCACCCTCCTACTCGACAACAATTCAGAAGAAATGATGCCAGTCACTGTGCTGGTTACTGGGGGTGAACAACACATAACCAGAGCCTCAAGGAGCAGGGAGGGACACAGATCGCTTCAGCAGAAGGCATTTGGTGTCATGTGATACGCACTCCCTGGCCACCTCTGCAAACATTCTCCAAGAATAAAACCCACCAACGATGGAATCCTCTGTGTTCTAGCCCAGAAGTTTTGAGTTATAAGAAACTCACTCCAGTTGCATCATAGGATGGAAGTTTATCAAAAGGACATGCTGGACAGACTCCCAGGAAGAGTGTGACAATCGGGCACAAAGAAATGGGGTCTGGAATAAGGGTGCGTGAAACATCAGCTGCACAAAGCTT